GTCGTCATTGTTTTAAGTTTCATACCTGACTTCTTAAACTCCACTGATCCCAACAGTGACAAAAAATAGTGGAAATGAAAGGTGAAAACAAGTTTAACGTTGGTAATTTTGTTCTCGAGTGACTTTTTGGTATACCGTGTAGTGTTCAAAACCACTACCCCTAACTATCGACCTTGACGTTGCATGTGCAGCTGAGGTTGTTCTCCGACTGTTGAAAAGATGTGGCTGTTTACTGGTAGTGGAAATGTGGAAATCGAAATTGATTTATTATTGTGACGCGATCCTCAATTTTGAATGCACCTGCTGTATTTGGATATATTTGATACTAGGCAGCGAAAGAATATTTGCTTGAGACAACGAGTTTTAGCGCATCCCTGTCAAGGTTTTGGTTCGATCAGCTTAATCTAAGTTCTAGGGACCAGCAACCTGTAAAAAGGAGACAGTTTCAAGTGAAAAAGAGATGGTTGTTGCGGAGTTGGGGATCATTACTGCCTATCAAAACTGGTTGCTTGTAGGAATTTCAAAATTACCTTGCTTTAAATACGGTTTCAAAACTTGACTAGAATTGTGAAGAAGAACATTTTCCCGCAGTCATCAAGTTTTTACCTATGCTCGTTCCAAAAAACATCGTTCAGAATTTGTGGAGCAGAAACACAAACGACTTGTTTGTAGTGCGGAACTGTCTGCGAAACTGAGGGAATGTTAGTAGAAGTTTATCAGGATTTAGCGGAAGCGTAGGGTATTGCGCAGTTTAACATTAGTTTTCGTTCCATAAATTTTTTTTTCCCGTTCCAAGACTGTGTTGTGGTTTGCACCTTGCTTCTACCACAAACATGTCTTCCGCTCGCGAAAGTATACTTGTTTAAAGTCCTATCTTCGCATTAGATATAATTATCTCAAACTTCACTTGTGTTGTAGGTTATTCTGAAGAGTCACAGTGCTTGTTGGTGATCAAGTGGGATTACACTCTAAAGGGGAATAGGCAAATAGTCTTTTCCTTCAAGGTAGAGAAAGCGGCAAGGTTTCATATATATATTTTTTCAATCAAAGTTCAGCTTTCTTCCCGCCTCAAACGCCTTCTAAATTTCCTGCAGTATACATTTTCTTTGAAATAATCGAAAATCGTGTGCTACTGACTGGTCATTTCAAAAGTAAGTCGATGTGTGTAAAGTAGGTATTTCTGATGTGGAACTGTCTCTCTGCACGAATTTTATTATATTCTACTACGCTAACCTTGTGCACCATTTTTTTAGAAGAAGAAAACTGAGGTGAGTAATCTGATTATAGTTTCACAAATGGATGCTGACCATTTGTATTATCGGCCACCAACAGAACAGACTGAACTTAAAAAATTGCCGATCATGAGGTTTATGAATTATCTGGACACCGAATATAACGTTAAATTCAATGCAGGTGAAGGAATCCTTTCTACTCTTTTTTCATTCTAAATTTTAACTTCAAGGTTAGATATAGAAATCCATCTTATATTTTAAAAATTTCAAATGTCTCCATTTTGCTGTTTATAGCTTGTGTGGTCAACATGTTTTATGCTCTATTCATTGCAGATAGTTACTGGGAACTGCATCAGTGGTCATGTGACCACTATGAGACTTTTTGGGAGGCTGTTCTTCGTTTCACAAAAATTATACTTAAGAAACGCTATACTAAAGTAGGTTTATTGAATATCTCACGTATTTTAACAATTAAGCTGCTATACTACTACGTCAAAAGTTTAGTCGTGTTAATCAGTCATTTATTAAGCAAATCGTTTTTTGTGGTAAGTGGAAATATCAGTTACTTTTTTTGGTTGTAGGTAGTGGAAGCAAAGGATTTTGACCAAATACCTCAGTGGTTCATCGGTGCAGAGTTGAATTATGCGGAAAATTTATTATTTGCACATGGTGGTAACTTAGATGACGGCGACAAGGTTGCTGTCATTGAAGCTAGTAATCTGACTTGTGACTTATAATTTTTTTCCAATAAATCTGTTTAAAGCAATTTTTCTGCCGTTTGGTAACACAAAACGGTGTAATCGGTTTTTTTTTAGTTTCAGAGACAAAATTTGCTACATATTCTTACCAACAGTTACGGGGAGATGTAATTGGCACTGCAACTGCTTTAAAAAGTCTAGGTGTATCACCTGGAGATCGAGTCGTTGCGTACGTTTCAAACTGCTACGAAACAACCGTGAGTGCTCTCGCAACAGCAGCTATTGGAGCAGCTTGGTCGTCGGCGTCTGTTGATTTTGGGACGTTTGGGGTTCTCGAACGTTTTTCGCAGGTTTCAAGTAATTGACAGTCTTTCACTGAACAGTGCAGGATGCTGATTTTAGCATTGTAATTTTTGTTCAGGTGCCCCAATCTATTATCAGCCAATAAGATTAAAGATATTTTGCGCTTAGTAATCATTTTTTTAAGCTAAACCCGACAGTGCTTTTCGCTACGGCATATGCATCTTATAAACAACGGACCCATAATCTCTTAGGAAAAATCAGTGAAATAGTCAAAGGTGGATCATTTTCTTGTTCTCGAGTGTGGTTTACTGAATTTAAATGTCACCTCCGCTTGAGAGGACTAAATTGTCTGGTTAATTTTTTTGAGTTTTAAATTAATTCTCTTTAAAGTGGAAAAAGAAGCGAAAAACGTGTTGTTTCTGAACTTTGCTACCACTGTATATTTTCTGTATTAGCAAGACAGGAACAAATATCTCAGTATCTAAATAGTTGTTTTCGTTTAAAAAACGAGTTTTTAAATATAAATGCTAAATTGGAAACTGAGTAAAGACGAAACCACCAACTGTTTTAGAAGAGATTTTTTTAAACACAAGTCAGACGTGTTGAAGACGAGTTTACGAGGCTGTCACAGTACCATGTTCAGGTTTACCGTCGTTACGTCATGTAATTTTGTTGAACCATTTGAAGGAGGATCTTCCCAAACATCTAATTACTAATGTCCGCTACACCACGCTGAGAAATCTTCAGGCTTTCGGGGAGGGAAAAAGTTTTGAATTTGCCTCAGTAACTGCTTCCGTTGCTTTTGATAGTCTAAATTAGTAATTCCATCCTCTTTACATCGGCAGAAACCTGTTTAAGTAGTGGATATTTATAGTTTTCCAGGTACCCTTTTCTCATCCATTATATATCATGTTTTCTAGTGGTACAACCGGTTCTCCAAAAGGTATGATTCATACGTGCGGGGTAGGTAACTTGTTAAAACTTTACCACGAAGATACTCCTGTTCCCGAACTGTGTACAGTAAGCTGCTGAAAAAAAATAATGATTCAGGGAACGTTATTAAAACATGTAGAAGAACACATACTCCAGACTGGCTTTACCAAAAACGATACTATTCTTTTTTACACCACATGCGGTTGGATGATGTGGAATTGGTTGATGTCTTGCTTCTATATTGGTTAGTCATTTTTTGTTTGTTTGACTAGTGAGTACAAAATGGGACTCAAATGTCGAATAGATTTGTGTAAACACTTTTTTATCCTACGTTTGCTCTGCTAAAGCATCGTCCTTCCAGTTCTCAGGGTTCTCATCCCTTGAAATTATTTTCTGGTCTGACTCATGGTTATTGTAGGAATGACTGTTGTCCTCTTCGATGAGTCACCACTTGAGCCTGACTGTCATATTCTACTAAAAATTGCTGCACGGCACAAATGCACAGTTCTGGGTATGGGAGCAAAGATTTACGACGAATATAGGAAACGCGGTGGACGTCCAGGTAATTTCCCTTCAAGCTGAACATTTGATTTTCGCTAACAGGCCGAACGGCAGTTGAGTACTTGTCGCTGTTGCCTTTTCAGCTTCCCTTTACGAATTAAGTTCGATTAGAATGTTTCTGTCAACCGCATCTCCCTTAAATCGTGATTCATTTCAGTTCCTGAATGAAAGTGTTCGTCCAGGGGTATCATTTGATCTAATTTAGCATCAATGGTCATGTAACGTGTCCAAAGTTCTGACAAATTGAATCCGCAAAAGCGTTTATGATTTAAGGCATTGATTGGTTCGATAAGTGGTGGAACAGACATTGTTGGGTGCTTCATGGGAAGTTCAGAGATCTTACCTGTTACTGAAGGGGAATGTCAATGTCCATACCTGGGTATCGACTTAGCTGCTTACGTGGATGACGAAGGAAACTATAAAAAAGGTTACAATTCAACTCCTAGAAGAACGGACTAGTTTTGGATTGTTTAAATAGAAGTACTCTTGATCGGTTTTTTAAGGCAAATGTGTCCTTGGTAAGCAGGGTGAACTGGTATGTAAAAAACCGTTTCCATCCATGCCTTGTGAATTTATTAATGATCCAGACAGGATTAGGTATCATCAAACATACTTTGAACGTTTTGAAGGCGTTTGGGCTCATGGGGACTTCTGCCAAATAAATCCTACAACTGGAGGGATCATTATGTTGGGCAGGTAAATTGCCCCATTTTAGGTCCTAATGTACTGGTTGTTCAGTTGCAGTAATCAAGTTATCCAGAACTGTTTTTGAAACAAAAAGTTTTACTTTAATGTAGGAGCGACACTACACTAAACAGAGGTGGTGTTCGGATAGGCACGGCTGAAATATACACAGTAGTTCAAAGATTTCCTGCGATAGAAGACAGTCTTGTAG